TGCTAATGGAGGGTTGCTCGATCAAATTAGCTTCCATGCTCAAGTCAACCACCACGGGGCCAGTTACGAAGGAGCAGCTGGAGATGGGAGCAGTTACGAGGCTGGGCCAATGAGAACACACCACCAACTTCGCCATGGAATTGGCTCAAAGTTAAGTAGCGGCAATTACTGACTGAATCTTGTTATGACTAAAAGAAATTCAGAGGGACTTAATGCATTCAAGTGGGAAACTAAATCAACTAAAATTTAAATGGGAAAAGAAATTTGCAAGAGATTTAAAAAAAAAAAAAAAAAAAAACACTTGTCCTATCAGAGGTTACTACGGAAATGGAAATTTGTTTCAGCTTTACTCTCCCCGCACTGCTAGCACTGCCAGTACCCCGGAGTCTACAAGTCAGCAACCTGGAAGCCCGTCACCTCCCTCAACCAGACCTCGAGAACGCAGACTCAGCTGGTCCAGGAAGGAGTACCACGAGACCGTCCAAGATGGAGACCACGACCCAGCATGAAGATCACTTTAGTCACTTTGAGGCACTCAGTAGGGCATGGTTTGCGACAAATGCAGTATTGCTGAACGAGAGTAAGGCAGGCCAGGTGACTGACAGCCTAACTACAGCAAGCCCCTGCCCGTCCATAACCTCAAGCCCTGGTTCCGACGTTGGTTTTAGTGGGGTTTTCCCAACGTCCTAGACGCTCCGAAGGAGGGGAACCACTCTCTCTCACTCCACCCTCCGTTTTGCATCCCCTATGCAAAAGCTCTTTCAGAGAGGGGAGGGTAGTGTTATGAAGTGAGCTTTGTTTGTAATCGACAATCGTTGCAAACGCTGAGTACTGCAGCAGACGACTCCGTCGTCTGCTGACGCGCCGCCCCCCACCACGCAGAGCCCACGGCACGGCCTGCGTGAGCGCGACCGCCTCCGCGAGGTGCCGCGCCCTAGCGGCGGGCACCCGCACCACGCTACCCCCTCCACCGCCAGGACCCTGGCGGGAGGCTCGAGCGAGCGCAAGCGGCCCGCGCCGCGCTCGGACCGACACTTCTGTTTGGGACGAGCTTGGAGAAGGACGTGCTCGCTCTCAGACTCTTACCGCGCTACCGTTGTTGCTACCGTTGTTGCTACCGCGCCGCGCTACCGTGATCACCCTGACTGACTACCTTGTAACAAGGACCTAATAAACACTTGTGCCGAAACTCAGCCTTTCCTTTAACCACACCTGCCTCCTAGTGCAACCGCGAGCCCCTGGCCCGGTTCACAACAATATAGTATTGCAGGTACATTATTTGAAGGGTGTAGATATAAGACAAACTTGAAAGGCAGCCACCTAATTTCTATTACAAATTCTTTTTTTCTTAACCATCTGACAGAATTTACTAAAACATATTACTGTAATTAAACCACAAAAGTAAATACACGTCTCTTTATAAATAAATGTGTTCTATGTGAAGAGGAAACACAAGAATAAAAGTGTAAGCAAATCCAAGCGTTTACTGCGCACAGAGCAACAGGAGGGGAGTCCAATCCACAACGTACAATGAATAAAGGGTATGTAAGAGTTCAGCCTCGGGTTCAGCGCAATCTAAAACATTGATATGTTTCTTATTACTACTAATTTACGGGAGGAATCTGAACACAATGCTGCCTTATAAGTCATCATCGTTATCTTCAAATTGAATAACATCAACAGTGTGCCTTGATTGGTCACGATAGTTTGAGGGTGTAATCCACCTTAGTGATGAATGAACGGATTAAGGATATGTGCAGAGCAGAGACAGACAGTCTTAGCAAAGTTGCAGGAATGCGGTTTTATCAGCATGCCCACGATGAGGCTTACAACGTACTTTGAAGTCCAAAAATATGGACAGAATGTCAGAATAGGAGGAAGAGGATAATAGTAAAAGAAACATCACAATCAAACAAATATTTTTGAATCAATACCCATTTTATTTCCAACTGCACAGTTAATAAAATATTCACTATAAAGTTCTAGGCTTTCGCACTAACAAGAGAACTTCAGTACCTGAAATTTGAAACACCACTTACAAAGCTCCAGTGCTACAACACTAATGGACCCAAGGAATTTATAGCTTTACGATTAGTAGGGAAATTTAGTAAAGGCCTGATTTTTTTTCAGGGAAAGTGCTTTCTCAGCTTTCCTTGTTAGCGACGTCGTGTCGTCTGCTGAAGCTGAACGTTGTGTTTTCAAAACAAAAGGCCCTCTGCCCTCTGTGCATTTTGGTGCAAGTGTTTGGTTCGTTTCTGAGTGTTTGCAGAAGGCATCGCTATCGACAAGCACAGCAGAAGCCAGTGTTTTTTTTTTGGTTGTTGGTGGTTTTGTTTGTTGTTATGGCGTTTGGTCGACGGTCGAGTTAGTTGGTTTCCGTCTCCATAATCGTGGTTTGCCAGTATGAAAGCTTTCAATAATGCTACTTTTGTACCGCCCATCTCGACAATTGCATCGAAACTTCCCTCATTTTATTGTGAACTTATTCTTGGATGTGTGGACGACTCCCAAGCGACCATCGACGACTATGAGAGCGTAACTTCGTGGTTCACCTGTTACTCACAGCACACACCAGACATACACATACAATGTGTTTTCACAAGAAGTTTTTGGCCAAGTTACTGTCAACTCTTATCGTAAACCGACCCCTAACCCACTCAGCATGGGGAAGGTTTTGATGTACCACCAAATCACAGGATTGACAAATCGGCCATGCTGTGCCAATGTCCTAGGTGAGTCAAACTTTAAAGTTTAATATTCAGGCAGAACTACATGGAGATTCTGTATTTCAGAGAGAGCCCCTTGATCATAGAAAACCGTAGTCTTATAACCTTTACTTACTGTAATAAACATGGAAATGCAAGAGTGACAAGTTGTACAGAAATCAAGTTTCAAGTGTCAAAATATGTTTTCTTTTCGTTTCTCATTGCCAAATTTGTTCTCAAGGGACGACCACTCCTTAATAACAAAGATTAGTCATTAATACGTCAAATTTTAGTCACAAATGTGAAAGTCAGCATGACTTATTGTATCATTAAGAAATGAGGGTTTTTTGATGTAATCATGACGTTTTATTGATGGTGCTGAATTTAAAACAAAAATTATTCCTAGCCAGAGTTTGCCGAGTCATTCTTATTCATCTCCATCTATTCCATCATCATGTCACCAGTTCAAATCGACTTGTTGTGCTGGCTCCACGTGATATGCGAACCTGCCACCTTGTGGTCTAAAGGTGGGCTCGCTAGCCCCTGAGCCATGCCTAACTGTGTGAGACGGGCTTGCGTGCCACTTGTGTTACAAACCAAAGTAGAGATGTGATCATCCATCTAACAGTATGGCTCTGTTCCTGTCTGATGTGTCCCAGCGTCCAGCTCACCTGTATTTGTGGATGTCATCAATCACAGTTACAGGCTACAAAAAAAATTGTAACTATGGGATGGACAACATTTGCCTTGCTCAGTGGACAAAATATAGTTCCCTAATACTTACATTGAAAAGAAAAGGCATTGGTAAAATTGCATCTTGCAATTGGACTAATTTTAATCTTTAATCAAGGTTGTCCAAAAGATAAAAAGCACAAATCATGAAAAAAATGCACCTCTTATCTGGACAAAATTGTCCATTTGTCTAGGTACAAGTCATTTGTACCCTGTTTTAGGGACTAATTTGTCCATTGAAAGATGCAAAGATTTTGTAACTCATTCTATGGAAAAAAATTGTCCCTTGACATTTAGTGTGTATACACAAATTATCTCGGCCAAATGAAACCGGAGGTGGATTGTAAAGGTACCTCGGTAAAGTTCGAACTCTGCCCTTTCGCGCGATACCACTCATGCGGTTGGTCAAAATATCAAACAGCTTCAAAAAGTGCGGAAAAGACATGCGTGTGCTCGACCGGCTGGCGCGCGGCCGGGGACGCCGGGGGACGCGCATGGTGTGCGGCCTGAGCGCTCCGTTTCTACCCCCTGATATTTGTCCAAAAGACTCTACTTTGACGAGTTACCCCTTAGGAAACCATTCAATATTTTCACTTTTGTGAGAGAAACTCCCTCTAGCGCCCAAGCGGTGAGAGATAGAGCATAACAGACGAAATTTTCGCCCTTGGAGCTCTACTTTCAAGTTACCCGTAAGGAAATCATAAACAAAAAATATTTTTTTCAACTTCTTTGGCCTTTGCTGTTTTGTACGATACCCCCTTTCAGCCCCATACGGGTGGCTGGCAGGATTTGCCGTAGGCGTTTTGTTTTGTGGGAGTGAACCTGGAGATCCCCTGAAAATTTGAAGTCTCTAGCACATCTCCTTCTTGTGGAACAGACAGACACACAGACAGACACACAGACAGACACACAGACAGACAGACAGACACGAGGTCGTTTGCATAAGCCCGATGGATAGCTTTTTCAAAGCAGAAGGGCGGGCTAAAAACAACGCTTGCATTGCAAAGATAGGCTTTGGGTGCATTTCCTCGACTTTTGTGGTGCCGAATTGTTTCGCGCAGCGTATACCTACTGAAGACCGGCGGAGGGGCGGGGGAGGGGCGGGCGGTGCGCGGCGACCTGTCAGTCATACAATAGGACGAGCTCCGGGACCCCAACAGAGTGCAATTGCCTGCAATAGGAACCACTGCACGGACCTAACAGTTACTATCCTGGATGGAACTTTTTTTTCAACTCCTTGCGATGATTTTTGAACGAGTTATTGTCGAAAAACCGACTTTGCTGCACCCTAGCATTCAAAGTGGCCCAATCTGGTTCAAATTGGCGCACGTCTACCTAGGCCTCCAGTGCGGACACACGATTCGAGTGAAAGACTAGAGGCAGAGGCCCCCCCCCCCCTTCCACGCGTACCAAATGACAATATTCTTGTTACCTTATCAGTGCACAGAACTCTTGGTAGCAAGAATAAAAACCTCCGTTCGTGTTGGTAATCTAAGAGTGCGCGTTAAGACAAAGTGTGGCCTTTCACTCGTAAAGGCACTGTTTCTTCGTTCGATTGTCCACCGTCACCCACTCATCAGACGAAGATAATTCAAGTCGAGTGCCTCATTCAAAATTCTAAGACTGGTTGTTGGGTGACGTAAGCCTCTTGTAATATAAATCGTTAGTAAGGATGGGGCGTGGGGCAAGAGATTCAGTTTCAGAAGAGCAGCGAACCTGCATTGAGATGGTGAGTAAATTTTTGCAAGGTCGTTCTCCCCTATGATTATCGACAGACATTAGTACACACACCCTAAATGTCAAGGGACAATTTATGACGGAGATGCATCGCTTAAGCGTACCTTCTAAGATGAAATTTTGAAGCTTGCGTTGTGACAACGTTATAATTTCAAGTAAACAATGTCTGATCGTGCAAAATCCCAACATCGCAATTGAGTTTAAGCATGCTGCCCCAAATCCCACCGCAGGGGCTTGGAGATTTCCTTATTTGACACACCGCATTCAAAAACGTCTTCTGAAGACTTGCGATGTGACAACAATTATTGACGTAGACGTACCATTTCATCGTTGCATTTCTGTTTCACTTTATCAGAGGGAATTTAAAGGCCCTTTAGGAATAGTGGTCCTCTTGTACTTTACCACTCCTACGACCGCGACCTGTGGCTGTGCGCAAAGCTTCGTGACGCCTTGAGAGTCTTTATGCGAAGCGAGATGCGCGAGTTGTCGAGGTGGATCAGTGTTATTTCCGCGGCCCAAATAATGACCTCAAAACTTCTCAAGGGTATTCCGCCACAGCTCGAAATCGAACTATACTATTTATATAAATGTTACTTCTGTATAGTTCCGCTTCGCGGTCCAGCGATTTAATAGTTCAGCCAGCTACACTACCTACAGCCACTCGCCTCATTCGCTCATCTGCCTGGCGAAGTCTGTTACGCTAGGTTCTACAACCACTTGAATCGTGGGTGTGGGCCCCTAAGATCCGAGAGCCGCGTCAGCGGAGACCGGCCGAACCTTACGGCGCGACTCTGAGAGAGGGCGCTGCTTTAGATATATCAAATAAGTTCTGTTCTTTTTCTGTTTTGCCAGACTGAAACGTCGATGCTCATAACGCACCTTGCTCTCGCTTGCTGTCTAGCCGGCGCAAGTGGCCGGCTACTGACGGCTGAAGACAGTATCGCGTTGCCTAAGGGGCTTCTCATTGGTGCCGGGGTGTCAGCTGTGCAGACAGAAGGGGCCTGGAATGAGGACGGTGAGTCAGAAAAATGAAAGTTTTCTCACCAGTTCAATGCTTGTTCCGTTTGAGCGATAACTAGAGATAGAGTAAACGCTCCAGGCTGAGCTAGCAGGCCACGGCTACTGCACTCGGTGGTGTGAGAATGAATGACAGTCCATCTAAGGGGGGTTATAACTTTTTAGGCCAAAATTTGGGGTTTCAAGCTGATTCTACCATAAATAACTGAAAGAAGGCTGGCTTATACAGACATAACCACCAACTGTAGGGACATTTACGGAAAATATTTCACTTGAGAAATTTTAAATCTCAATGGAAATCAGGTAGCTAAGGCGGAAGATTTGCTGTCAAAAATCGTAAAAAGCTTTAATCAAGTCAATTTACCGACTAGCAAAGTATCTGAGTGAGCGAGGAAGGCCGGGTAGACGGCGGGGCGGCGGTGGGCAAGGTGTTCCCTACAATCGAGAATATACGTATCGGGGTTATTTGCGTAATAGACCATTCCGCTAAGCCGAAACAGAAGAAGAGAAGGAAGAAGCAAATAAATATTTTGGGACTTAATGGACCTTCTTACACAGCATTTTACAACTCTTACATGTTCAAAATGTTTTTTTAAAGCAAATGTGATATTTTTAAGACAACAAATCACTCACAAATTGGCCCCATCAGCTCTAAACGATACCTTTGCTTCTTCCTTCTCTCTTTTTTTTTTTTGGCTCAGCGAAATGGTCTATTAATTGTAGAAAACCCATAGTTTCTAGAACAAAACCGAGTAGACCGTTTAGCGCACACTACCTACCCAAAGCTGAGATATCCCGTGTTAAAAACGGTTGTAAACCGCACTGCAGCGTCGTCGTCTTGTCATGGTGTTCAACTTACAAGTCGAGTCATTGTCTCTCACATTCTAACAAAATATTTATTCACTCTGTATGAACGTAGGTATGGCATGAACTAGGATATCTGGAATCGGTCACCTCCTTCATCCCTACGTCATACCTACGTTCATACAGAGTCCAATAA